GAAGGAGCCTAGTAGCTCCAATCAATTCACCTGCACGAGTCTGCACCGGTCCAGAAAGGTGTGGCGTAGTGCCGCTAAATAAGCTACGCTTCAGAGTAACAACACTTGGCCATATTATGGCTTAATATCATTGTTATCTGAAATCACAGGAAACGCTTTTCCGCCCTCCATTTATGTTTCAACAGTTCGCGACAAAGCAAAGCAATATTGGATGAGCTCCCTAACACCGAATGACATGCTGAGCAAGTCGCACTTTTAATCATGATTATCGGCAATTGTGTCTGCTCGGCATACGATCCAAAATGGCGGCGCCCACAACAATGTCGGGAAACGGAGTGCCGATACTGAAAGCGCAGCTCATTTATTTGCTCTAGTGTAGCGCGGCGGAGAAAAGTGCGGGGCAATGTACTTCCGGTGCATTGCCCGGCACTCGTAAATTGAATACGGCGATGTACACCGAGTTTACCGATGCAGGAGGGTGCGGGTAGAGCCACTAAAATAAGCTGCGCTTAGAGTATCGACACTCCGTTCCCCGACATTGTTGTGGGCGCCGCCATTTTGGCTCGTATGCAGAACAGACGCAACGGCCGATCGTCATGATTCAAAAGTGCGACTTCCTCAGCATTAGATGCGGTGTTAGGAAGGTCATGTAAAAATTGCTTTGCTCTGTCGCGAACGGTTTAAACATTTGTGGAGGGCGGAAAACCATTTCCTGTGATTTCAGATAAAGCTTCAGATAACTGGCAGCCATGATTTTAAGACACAATATGGCCAAGTGCCGTTACTCTGAAGCGTAGCTTATTTAGTGGCACTAGGTGCGGGTACGAGCCCATTGTATGCCAAAACACATGTACCCGCGTGATCTGGCACCGTACAAGGAGAAGGTCCAGTAAAAATACAACACTCCGTTTCAGTTTAAAAGAAAACAACACTAAAACTCCTTAATTTTTTCTTTTTTTTGCCTGCCAATTCATAATGGTTTTAGCAGACTACCCAATCAATATTTTGGTACAAAGTTACGTATTTTCTTAATAAAGTGAAAAAAAGTGAAAGGCGAACTTTATCGACGTGTCGATAAAGTTCGCTTTTCACTCTCTCTCTTTCTCTCTTTCACTATGGTTTCCAGCGGCGCCGGCAGATGGCTCGTCGACCCGTGGGCACGGGGTAAGACGCAGGAAGCAGGCAGCAGTGCACAAGGCGGCTCGTGACGCCTCATGCTCCACACGCGCAGAGCTCCAGCGAAGTTGTCGCTCGTCTGCGAACGAAGTATAACACCCATATTTCATGCCGCGGGACCACTTCGATGGCGATGTCCATGGCACTTTTCACGTCGCCCGAGGGAAAACACTCGACAAAAAAAAAACTTATCTAAGCCTAGTCGATCGGGAAGTGCGTCCGTTGAACGTCGTAATATGAGCGCTGGATGCTCAAGATACGGCGTACAAATATGGATACCGGCGGGACGACTTTACCGTCGAAACTGAAGTATCGGTAAATTAAGAAAATTTCTGCGTGGAGTCTACATTTGTGGGGAGCTGTATATACTGCCAGATGCTGTCGCGACAGACTCCACATTATATAAAAAAGTATGTTGTTAAGGCAGTGACGTCAAGAAAACGAACCCACTGTTTTCTTTGGCAGAATAATACAAACATTTTAGGCACATGTGCCGCCGAACCTTTTTACTTTTCATCGACTGAATCACTAATCAATTTAATATAATCACGTCGATACGCCATTTTCATTTGGGGCGCAGGTAACAAAGTATAATATTTGCATCTAATTACCGACAGTTTCTGAAACAGAGGGAGTGGCTTATTAAAAGCATGAAGTCCCTTTTAACGGAAGCCCGAATCCCATATTTTGTCCGTCCGTCCTTTCGTGCATTTCCCGCTAAATATAGCGGGGAAATTGACGTCACGTGACTCATACACGAATTAAGTTTCTCCGCTTACTTTAGCGGGAAAATAGTTGTCACGCGACCTATTACACCGATAGAGTTTCCCGCTAAATTTAGCGAGCAAAGTGATGACACGTCACCTTTGCACAAATTCAATTTTCTTGCTACATTTAACGAGTAAATTCAAGAAAATCGAGTTTTCTTTTCTTACTTCCCGAAACGATTGTGGAATGACTTCTGAACAAATTTAAACGAACGCTCCTCGAACGCTGCTTGTAAGGCATTATAGAACTTCTAAAATTAAAGTCGCTGTCAATATTTTTTTTTCTTTTTTTATTATGTTTACACTTTTTTTTTTCGTTTTATTTATTGGCTAAGGGCGCATTCTCCTTCGACTGCGTAGAGGTAAGTAATGTTTGACTCTAGCCACACCTTTCGTTTTTCATGTTGACGGTGACTATAGTTATTTTGTTTCCAGATATCACGGGACCAATATAGGTTTTTTTTTACTCATTATCTTGTTTTATATTACATTCTTGGGTTAGTTAGAGGTATAGCAATCAGCAATCTTGGATGGTAAGAAGTGCGTACCTAATTAGGTGACCATTGAAAAAAAAAAAAAAAATCAAGCCCTTTGTCACACCAAACAATCTAAAGAAAACAAAATAATAAAAGCTCTCCGCTCGCGTTTGATGCCGGAAGAAGAAAAGATAAAACGTGTAGCGACTTTTCCCACGGGACAGGAAATAACTGTACAAAGCTCAAAAGCCGGTTAAAAAAAAAAAAGAAAAGAGAAAAAAGCAGACAGGAAATGCAAGGGGAGTCATTCCATTGACCCTTCTCGTCTGGCGGAAGTGTCGTAAACGAACAAGTGCACCCAGAGGTCGAATTGCATTCTTTTTGTTTTCGATTACCTGCTTCAAATCAACACTAATGGCGACCAAAAAAAAAAAGAAACGCCGGTTAACGAAAATGGCAAATTATTGCTGTTTTATACGCATATTTTGTACGGTAAAAGCTAGCGGTAAGAACTTGTCCAGGACACCAATACATTCGCTACATTTTTCTTTATATTACACACCGTTAAAAAAAAATTCAGTACCTCAGTAACAGAGAAGCTTCTGATTAGAACTCTAGTCTAAAAAAAAAATATCGAAGATAAAAAGCTCGCGCTGGTGGCGGGAAAACTGAAAGTCCTTTCTGCTGTTCTCGTACTGCTCGTACTGTTAGTGATCGTACAGAGAAATGCGTTCAATCATTCATTTATTTGTCTAATATGTGTTTCAACGAATTCATGTCGACTCGCCGCCGCTCTACCGTACAGTAACCAACTAAATTTAGCTGCACGCAACTGTGTTTCACGTGGTCGATGACACCAGGAGTGACCTGGTCACGTGGCTATAGTACCACTACAGGTCACGTGACCACGTGACGTGTTTTCAGGCCACGCTACGTCCCGTGGCATCGGGATGTTGACACCACTACGTGAGGTAACGGTGCAATGTTATGAAATATGGTGGCGTTGGACACGAAACGTGATGTCACGTCACGTGACATGTCGAGTTTGTCTCCGCATCAGACAGTTTTGGAGAGGGTTTTCCTTCGGCGATCTTTTAACGGCCGCCCAGCCGGCCTGATAGAGGTTACTTATGCACTCATTTTCTGGGGGCCGAAACCTTTGACCCTTTTTGGTGGTCAGTGAGTATTAAGAAATATTTAAGTACGTTATAAAGTGATGGCTATTTGATAACAAACAATATTAGTAACACCGCGCGTAAAAGCAAACAATACTGATGAAGTAACCTTTCCATAAAGTGCGATACAAATCCAAAACTACAGCACTAAACTCTTACGTTTGGACCTCAAATATGTTTGCCCGGAGCTCAGCATGCCCATTTTGTATATACGGCACTGCGCACGCCGTTACTAAACTGGTTACGTGTTCGAGACGTCCTAAAATGACAATTATGAGGCAGTTGTTACCAGCCATACCCCAATACTTGGCTACAGGCATTGTGAATAATAGCAATCCTATAATAGTACGTTAATCGTTCCATCGAATAATACGCCAAAACTGCTTTGAGAGATGCATTTTATTCACACAACACACTATATTGTCAGAGTGATGTGTTAAGGCTGTGCGTGACTATGGGCTGTGCTGTGTCGTCGCTCTGCTGTTTTGTCGAGTGCTTACCTACGTATAGTACCGCGTAGGTAGGGTTCTGTCTGTCTGTCTTTCTGTGTGTGCGTGCCTGTGCGCGTGCGTGCGCGTGTGTCTGTGTGTGTGTGCGTGTGTGCCGCTTTGATCGCGATCGAAGAAAACCGCAGAACCCCGAATTCGGGCTGTTTTTAAATAAGGAAACCAATTCGCCACTTTCAGCCATGGTGGCACCGCGTTGTGAGAAGAATGAAAGTGCTAACTTACACCTTCCTCACGTGGAAGTATGAAGGAATGCTCTCATATCGCACACATTTCACAAAATTAGAATTCCTTGAGCGTTGCAGACCGAACCTTGCATACTGCTGTTCTACGACGAACCAGAGCGTGCCCCCTATGGGCCGTGAAAGTTGCGAATATCTTCACAAAAGTTTGCCTAGAGCTTTATTTCAATTTCCCCCCGAACACAATTAGGACTGCAATGCCTGCGAGGCTTCTTCTTTGAAATCCGAAACCGAATTCCTTCTTTCGTTTCCTTCTGTCTCGATTCTGGAGCGGTTTTTTAAATTTTTAATCCATGCGATGCTCCCCGAGGGTTGGGGAATACCATGCTTACACGTGTCCTGTTTTCTTCAACACAATCCCCGATAAATGTCGATTCCTGGCCGACACCTAAAATAGACGCAGTAAGACACCGACGTCTCGACGCTTGGGGTGAGTTAACCCTCTCCCCCTCAACGCAGCACAAAAGCGCGACAGCGTAAACATAGTTATGCGCAGGCATTTTTTTTTTTTTCGGACGCGGGTTGTTTACGTTGTTAGGGCGGATTTGGCGCTGTAGGCGCTCTGTGTAAAGCAAAGGAGCGGAGTAGAAGGTATTCTAAAAGATATGTGGTTATCTTGCACTTCTGCCTGCTCGGACTGGTGGCGCGGAGTGAAACTTCACTTTGAACTATAGTTAGGAGTGGGGCAGTCTTCCTTAGCTACGCATGTCTTGTTCCCCGAAGAGATGCGGAGGTATTTCTCTCTGCAGACGCAGCCGTCCCCTTCGCACACCTCGGGGCAACCGACGGACTCTTCGTTGCACGTAGGGGGGCACGCCGACCGACAAGTTGTGTAGATCATGGTGACGTCATCCTTGCACGTCGGCGGACACTCCTCGAGGGGTACGCAACGACCGTCCTTGGATGACCTGCAACATCATATAAGAAAGAGACATGCCTTAGACCTTGCTAGCTGTACTTTTTGCATTGTATTAGCCGTGAGAGCGCGGCTGAACAAAGAAGGTTTCGAAACCAGTGGACGTCAGCGTCCACACTGAAGCGACATCCTGCGTATACGACAATGGAACACTGCAATTTCCTTTTTTTCTTTTTTTTAGGGGAGCGCGGATCTTGTAATGAAAAGATTATCGTACCTGATGTATCCAGGAAGACAGAAACAGCTGGCCACGCACTGCAGCGTGCAACCTTCGGTGTAGGTCTGATTGCATACCAGGGGACAAGCCGTACCGCAAGACATGAACACCTCGAACTCTTTGTCCTTAAACCGGCCGCACTGTTCCGGAGTCACGCATTCGCCGAGAATGGTGCGGAGAAAGCCTCGTTTGCAGACGCAGCCGCTACAGGAGCCGTTGCTCGCCGGACCCGAGTCGGCTCGAGTGATCGGGCACGGCTCGTCCGGGTTTCTGCACGGATCGCCGATCTCTTCGTTTGCAGAGCAGGCGATGTCAGCTGACCAGACAGCCAAAAAGCGAAAGACGTTTACAACACCCTGTAACGCCGATTTAGAGCGCAGCTCTTGAGGAGGAGGTGGGAAGGGTACTGAGGGGAGGGTGTACCCCTCCTCCCTCCTCCTCACCTCCTTATCCTCCCTGATACTTCTCATCCCCTCCTCCCTCTTCTTCCTCCTCACCCTCATTCTCCTCCTCCCTCCTCCTCCCCTCCGCCTCCTCCTCCCCCTCTTGTTCATCTCCCCCTCCTCCCCGTCTCCTCCCCCTTCTCCTGGTCCTCCTCCTCCTCCCCGCGGGGTGCATTATGGGAAATATCCCATAATGCACCGCGCGGTTACGCCGACGGCGACGCCGCTCATGCCGGAAACGGGCATCTAAAAGCTGCGCTCTAAAAGGAAAGTCCGACTGCAGCCTTTATACGCTAGGATCCTCACGGCGCGTCGTCTTCTTTGTGCGTCTGCTATCCATCACCTGCTAAGCCAATCACGCAAGGGGAAAAAGCAGAACAAAACCAATCACGCAATGAAAAAAAGCAAACGCGCAAAGATTATGAGCGCCGCGATGATGCACTTTTGGGTTCCTTGATCGGCTTCATCAAATCGGATCCATGCGTTCCTACCATAGAGTTATTGTAATATACGCTAGAGGTTCAACTGGCGCTAGTGTCTACGCGACTTCCGTGACGCAAGTTGAAGCAGACAGCAACCAGTCTACTTTTGCGCTGCTCCTGTGCATTCCTATGGGATCACGCGCGTGTATTTTGTCTCTTCGCCGAGAAATAACACGGAACACTTTGGTTATTTGCGTCGTACCGAATAGTACGTACCTTGATTAACATTGTAAAAGTGTAATTGCTTTAGTTAGCGCATTTTTCTTCATCAGTGAACGATGTTTATCTTCGCTACATTTCAACTCCAAACGTGTGTTCCGCAGCAGGTGTGTAAAAACAAGCGACGATTCCAAGCAAAATTACAATCGAAAGGAATATATATAGAGTGTGTTCAAGACTCGCCAGAATTCCGGTGATGCTTATATATTGCTAATATGCCGGTTCTCTCACTATATGAAAATGACCCCGTCGTGCATGAGCGGATGAAAACATTCAAAACGTAGAGAATAAAGTCCGTGGGCTATGAAAGTTGTCTCTTCGTATTGTTTTCTCTGCCGGGCAGCTTTTATTGGGCACTTGTTCTCAAAGATTTCGAGCGTGCGGGTGATATTTTGAACGTAGAACAAGCAGCTTAGCTCAGGGCAGAAATAATAAAGCGGTACTTACTTATTTAAAGTCGGAATATACTACGTGACCTTGAATTTATTTTCATCGTACATGCACTGGTAGTTACTGATCCAGTGTTACTGCGTAGTTCTTGCAGTCCCTCTTGGCTTTCCAGATGTCCTTCGTTCGTTTGGCACTTATATCCCTCATGCTGAAAAGCGCCGACGTCGTGTTCGCGCTAAGATTGTCCGACAGTGCACGTAAATACACGTACGAAGCCGTTTTAGCACCGTTTTTATTGCAACGAATTTGAAAGAAAAACGCCGTAACTGGCCAATTCTTTCGTCGGCCTGACTGAGAACTATTCCAAGCTACTTACGAATTATTTGTGATATTTTCTTTTATGATCGAGCGCAGGGAGAAAATGCACTCACTTTTTCCCATAGAAGTGCATTACCGGAAGTCACTTTTCGACTGGTTGCTGTCTGCTTCAATTTGCGTCAGCACACTAGCGCCACTTGAACCTCTAGCGTACATTACAATAACTCTATGGTTCCTACTACACAAAAGCTGTCGGTGCCAAGGTCATTCGATTTTTTTTTCTTTTTGCTCGGCGAGATGTGTTCCTCGTGTGAAGATTTTTCAAAAAATTTTCTCTCGCGCGATTATGGCTATGTGGGAAAGCTTTTCTAAAACGTCCATCTGCTGCACTGCCAGGCTTGTTGAAGTGCAAAGGGTACATACATGATTGGTTACGTTTAACCTTAATTTATTTAACGAAAAGCTCAGAAAGGCGAAGGAAAGTTTATGTAACCTACACAATAAGGTGGCAAGTCAGGTTAGTTGGGCAAATCGACTGCGCACTTCATGAAACAACCGCACTTTTCCCACTAATAAAAAAATCATGTTGTGTAAACAGACGTATGGAACCTTTCAATTATTTGAAGACACGTAGAGACGGTTTGAAGGACAAATCTAATCTTTTCTCCGCGGTCATGCAGTTATCGGAAAATTATGAAATTCTGCCCGAACATTCTTTTCGAAAATTTGGGTGAGTTCTATCAGCTTAATTATTACGTGTATGGCTCATGTACCGACAGCTTAAAATGCGCAAGGCCTATTATATCCAAGCTCTTTCGCGTCGTGATTCATTCGTCGGGACTTTTATAATCTAACACTGAAATCTCATTGAATGAGGACCTAGAATAGGATTCAAGTTTAGATAATCGTCTGTGTACTTACCTCCATGACACTTGACGCAGACAACACCCACAAGGATGAACGAAACTGCAGCAAGCATGTTCATACCAAAGCCCGTAAGAATAAGCTGTATGGTCAGTCTGGTATTATATATGCTACAGAAACAGCGTGATTTCCAAGTACGCGTTTTTCTTTTCTAGAGAGAGTATTGCAATTCAACAAAATCCAGCGTGTCTGGTTTTCTTTTCCTCCTTGCATGACAGCGTTTCACAGCGTTGTGAAATTGGGAAACTAAAAAAGAAACTACAAAAAACGAGAGCGGGAACTTCTGGAAATGTGTTACCATACGCACAAGCTGCGTGTCATTTCTTTTTTTTTTTTTAAAGATTTTTGCAGATTGTAAACGCGAGTTTGCGCAGCCTTCTGACTACCTGTTTACGTTCGGTTAACTACGTCGTTCTTTTCTTCTTCTTTTTTTTTTTTGTCTTTTAAAGTTTACTTAATTTTTTTATGCTTTATAGCCTCAAACTGTTGGCGTGTTTGTTTCTTATATGACGGTGTTATCAGACTGGTCATGGAAAAACTGTCTGCAAAATATGTTTGAAGCATGCATGCTTACGAAAGCAAATATGCTCCGATTATGCTTGAGGTGTGTCCGCAGGTAATCTTGTCATCATGTCCGCGGGTATGATGTGTGAGCACTCACCCAAACAGCGCACTTGACAAGACCCTTCTTGTTTACCGCAACATTATGCTAAAAGCTCATCATGTCCGCGGGTATGAAATATGAGCACTGGGACTTCGGCTTTAGGATGTCTCCTTGCAATTTTACAGACACCCAAACAGCGCACTGGACAAGACCCTTCTTGTTTACCTCAACATTATCAACATTATGCCAAAGGAGGAAGAGAATTCACTATGAGCAGCATAAAGAACGACGCAAAAGGGTCATCAGATGAAGTGCCATGGCCTATACCTGGCTAAAGCGTATCTAGACTGGCGACTTTTATCAGCGGAACACCCAGACTTACACAAATAGTTTTTTAAAGGTTACATGAACATTTTCTCTCCATTTTCATGAAAAAAAAAATGACACTATGCTTTACGATGCAAAACCAAATATTACGATGCTTCACGAATCAGCGCGAATATTTTTTTTAATTATTATTTCCTGTTGAATCAAGCCTTCTCTGGTAAACCGTGGCATCACGACCGGCATTCATAATAGTAGGAAACGTCAGGTACACAATGGTACACGTATTGCCAGCAAAAGGACAGAGAACAGTGGACTGGACTTTCACGTGTGCTGCTAGTTTTCCTTTTTTTTTTGTATTTATACGTTGATTGTATAGAAAATTGTTCTATGTGGGTCATATGGCGGGTGCTCTCGTGTACAGCTCAAAAGACCCTAATATCCGGCTAAGCGAGGAAACCAATGTACATATTTTCTTTCTATTTCTTTTTTATTGTCGGAAACTTCGCAGTTGAAGAGCACAAGAGCACACATGTGCAGCTTGGTACTGTTTTCCACCCAGACCTTGACACACAAAATATCAAAAAAAGGTTCTGCGCTTCTGCGCAGTTTCGCATGGTCCAACAATTATACCGAGCTGCAAGATTTTCAGAAATAAACTCGCCACGTGCTAAAAGATATAGAAACATTTCAGCAACGATATAATTATAAATGGCATAAACAAAAAAGATATGAAGTCTCTCTAAACTTTTGATTGTTCAGCAATCCCGTCCAACGCTTCCAGATATTCCTTCATGCGTGCAGCTCGGCCACAAGAAATGCATATAATATATATATATATATATATATATTTTTATCAACCCAATCAGTGACACACACTAGCGGTATCTTACTCTAATTGTCATACAGGCTATGTTCGCACGGATGCGACTGTAGCGACGAGTGATTTCCCTACCCCCCCCCCCCCCCTTGTTTTTCTGAAGGCACCCCTTTATGTCGCAACAACTCCTTTATTCTCAATGCCCCCCCCCCCTAAAAATTTAGACATCCCCCTAATTTGAATTCCTGGGGAAACCTCTGGTAGCGAATAGGATTCAGGTTTCACGAGAATGATTGGGTAGGAAAAAAAGAAAAACTTTCAACCTGAATTCCATTCTGGTGAAGAAGGAAGACCAGCGGAGCTGTACAATGGAAAGTGATGGCCGGCCGCCAGTCGGCAAGGCAGAGTGGGAAGGCTGCCGCCATCTATGAGCGACGGCGGGAACCAGATACGTGGCTTGCCGCCGTCGCTCATAGATGCCGGTAGGTGTCCAGAGTTCGGTGTCTTCATTTCTTTGCGGGGGACACGATCCTAGGGAAACTAGAGTCACTAAATAAGCTACGCTTTCAGAGTACCGCAT